GGGGGGGGGGGGGGAAAAAAAAAAAAAAAAAAAAAAAAAAAAAAATCTATAAACCGCGCGTCGTTCCCCTTTTTACTAAACTCCAGGCGGATACGGGAAATATTATTATACCCGGCGGATTGGGAACTACGCGTGCACCGGCAGGCACGTTTCTATATTGCATCAGCAGTACAATTACGTATACATAGGTGACTACGCGAACCCGACGAAAATATTATAACGAGTACCTCGTATTCCTCGTTTTATAAAATATAATATATATATATATATATAGAGACAATAAAAAAAAAAACAGAAGAAAAAAAAACAATATATATATATATATATGTATAATATATACAAACCGTTCGGCGTACACGCTGATAATATCGTGACGTCATAGTTGCATGAGCCAAAATAATCCGACAAATATCTTTCACGCAACTATATTGGTACGTTACCATTATTTTATCCGCGACCGCGACCCCGTGCCGAAATAACCGTTGTCGCACGGTGCACAATGCGCAGAAGAAACAATACATCATTTGCACGTTAGCCGCGTGTAACAACATAGAATAGCTGTTGTTTATTTTATATTTTATTTTATTTTTTTATTTTTTTTTTTTTTTTTTTTTTTTTTTTTTTTTTTTTGAAGTGCCGAAAAAAAATATGTAACTATAAGGACTATACTATACTATAATAATAATAATAATAATAATAATAATACATATAATAGAATGTACAACATTATTGTATAATAACACATATAGGTATCCGTGTCCAGAGCTTTATCAAACGATTTTTATTTTTCGTCTTATAACCGTCGTTACCGGTGTATTATCCGCGGCGACGACAGGCCCTTTTATGCAGCTAGCTACATAATATCGCGATTTTTTTCAATCGTTTCTAGAAAACGATGTTTAGAGAGAAAAAAAAAACAACAAAACAACGCTAAATAATAATGTACAATAGCCTAAATTCTAATTTTTTTGGTTTTTTTTTTTTTTTGTTTTTTTTTTCCGTTAAACAATAATAATTATACGATAAAGTCTTCTATTTTCATATCATCAATAAAATAATAAACAAACAATAATAATAATAATAATAATAATAATAATAATAATGATCATAATAATAATAATAATAATAATAATAATTATATGATAGCACTAAACTTAACAGATATACCTGTGCGTGTGAATTCCGTGGCCGGCCGGCCGATATTTAGGTAAAATGTATTCTATGTACAATTATAACATACGCGTATATTATTATAATGTTGCATTTTATGCAAAACAGCACTTTGTACGTTTTTGCGCCCGGATCAGTCGCCTGCACCTTACAATAATTAATCTAATATAATTGGTTTTCGTCTAACAATAATAATAGTAATAATAATAATAATGATAAACAAATCGTGTAAAAACAATAAAAAAAAAAACAATAATAATCAATATAATATATATTATGCGCGTAATTAAGCAAAAACCGTATAGGTGTATCGTATACACGTCACACGAATACGAATGGTCCGTATTTTTCTTCGTCCGTTTAAGTGTATTTTAATCTATGTCGTATTATTATAATGTAATAAATACCTATCGTATACCGTATACAAAACGTAATATTCTGTTATATTGTTGCGATAAAGTTTGTATTTTTCTTTTTTCTTATTTTTTGTTTAATGTCCAACGCGAAATTGTTCGTAAAATTGTAATTTGCTCGACGGCGATGACTGCGGGTTGTTTGTTGTTATACATCGCGTACGGGGACGAAAATATAATTTTACAGATTTTATCGACCGGCGGAGAGGGGGGTGGGGGGGTCGGTCAACGGATACGGGTACACGCTGGGAAATGCAGAAGAAACACCGACGGGCCGCAGCGTAAAAACTAACGTGCGCGCGCGGCGTAATGTTTCGCGTTTCCGACGGTTTTTTTTTTTTTTGTGATATTATTATAGCGGTTGTTTTAGAGGCCTTTTCCTCCCGCCGCTTTATCCCCCCTGCGCCCTCCTCGTCAACATAATATAGACCTTTCTTCGCTGGACGCCGCGAATAGATACCGCGGCTCGTTTGGAAACGGTCCAACTTATGCGGGTGAAGAGGGGATGGGGGAAGCAGTCTTTTCGGAATCGCAAAACGCCGCCGTCCACGTCGGCGTTATAATACGCGGCCGGCGGGGAGGAAATAAAAACCCCCCGAAATCACGAAAAACCCTGCTCGCGCCGAAGGGTTTTCTGGCATAATGTATACCTGTGTAAATTCGACGAAACGCGAACGTCAAGGCGAATCGGGTAACGAAAAACAAAAAAACAAAAAATAATTCTTTCCCGTACGCGATATAAACCGAAAAACAGCCCCGGACCGTCGAGTTTTTTTTTAAAAAAAATTTAGCCACGCGTGTTTATATAGAGAGAAAAAAAAAACAATAAATATTATACACTGTTACAATATAGCATATCGCGTTAACCGAAAACCAAAAATTATCGTAACATCGTCAAATATCATAATAATATTTTACAGTATAATGCAGGCTCTAAAAACTATTGTATTTACGTACAAAAAAAAAAAAAAAAAACAAAACAAAACGAATTATTCACTTTATAATGTATAATGTATATTAGTCTTATCCTTTTGTAAATCGTAACCGTACAGAAAATGTCCGTTCGACGAAACGCACGTGCATATATATAAATATAATGTACGCGGTTTTTCATGTGGTGCGCGCGATCCGCGAACCGTAAGTGCCGCTGCAGGCGGTGGACGTCGGCAGGCACCTGTGCGAAAAGAAATAAACAAACAAACAATTATCAGGTTTATTGTTTTATTTTTTTTTTTTTTTTTTT